GTGTCTGTGTGTGTGTGTCTGTGTGTGTGTGTCTGTGTGTGTGTGTGTCTGTGTGTGTGTGTGTCTGTGTGTGTGTGTGTGGTGTGTGTGTGTGTGTGTGTGTCTGTGTGTGTGTGTGTCTGTGTGTGTGTGTCTGTGTGTGTGTGTGTCTGTGTGTGTGTTTGTGTGTGTGTGTGTGTGTCTGTGTGTGTGTCTGTGTGTGTGTGTGTGTGTCTGTGTGTGTGTGTCTGTGTGTGTGTGTGTGTGGTGTGTGTGTGTGTGTGTGTGTGTGTGTGGTTGATGTGTTGCTGCTTGTCCACCAGCCTCTGCAGGTTTGTGCCAATTTTTAGCAGAAACTTTAACATTTTTGTCCATTTCAGTTTTTTTTCTGCTTCGTCTCTAATTTGCATCTTTAGGAAAATGATTTAGCAGAACCATCATCATCATCTTCATCCTCTTTCTCTTCCTCCTGGTTACTGGTTTGTGATGAAAACCCATTTTAGATTTTAGAGACTAAATTCAACTGAAATTGTTTCAGTTTTTAAGTTGACAGGAACTGATGCCTGATCAGATGAACAGGATCAGTTTGTGCATCTGTTTTCACAACTTTTTTTCTTCCACTCAACTTTCTGTCAATATGTTTGCAACAGTAAGTAAGTAGAAGATTGAGTGGAAGGAAGAACTGTGATGTAGAATGATGCTGTTTTCATTAGTTTTTAGTTGGCTCTGAGGTGAATTAATGGAATGAACAGTTAAATATCTGAATTATTGCATGAATGAATTAGATTTTATTTTAAAATCAAACTGGTGAAATAAATTCAGTTTTGTAGTGCAGCGAGCGTCCAGGCTGCAGCATCTTCACTCCTCGCTCTGCGTTCATGTCGCCTCTCTGCAGGTATAAACCCGACACACCGTCTGTGCTGCTGGCGCTGCCAGGGCAGCACACACACACACCAAAACACACACACACACACACACACACCAAAACACACACCAAAACACACACACACACACACCAAAACACACACACACACACACCAAAACACACACACACACACACACACACACCAAAACACACACACACACACACACACACACACACACCAAAACACACACAGTCAGCAGCAGCGGCAGCAGATCACAGTTCGATGGAGATCTGAGATGAATTCATATTTTTTCTCTTCCTCCTGCTGTGTTTCTACTTCCTGTTCCGGTTTCCATGGAGTTTCTTCATCCTGTCTCTCCTCTTCCTCACTCACCTCTCCACGGCGCATCAGTTCACCTCTGCAGCTTTGCACTCGCTCGCCCTCTGCAGGGCCCTCTGGTGAATCGTCGGTTGACCTCTGGTTGTCGGTTGACCTCTGCTTGACCCCGGTGACCTGCGTGTTTTCCTCTCCTGCCTGCTTGGGGAGCAGCGCTCGCCAGCGGTTCTTGGAACGCCGAGTCACTCAGGTTTTTCCGTTCCCGCTGCGTCGCGTCCCATTATCAGTTTATATGAAAGGAGGAAATTCCTCTGCGGCGGGTCCGTGAGAGGCGGGTCCGTGAGCGGCGGGTCTGTGAGCGGCGGGTCTGTGAGAGGCGGGTCCGTGAGCGGCGGGTCTGTGAGCGGCGGGTCTGTGAGCGGCGGGTCTGTGAGCGGCGGGTCCGTGAGCGGCGGGTCTCTCTGCTTTATAACGAGCGGCTCGGCCTGCAAAGCAAACGGCTTCTAGGCGCAGAGGCGACCCCGCGTCACACTGGGCCCTGGCAGAACAGCTGGGACCCCGGTCCAGTTCGGGGCCCGCTGACACGCTAACTGGTGAGTTTCTTACTGGTGATTACATGAGCGCCTCCTGCTGGCTCATTACGTAACCTGATGGTTTCCAGTCCAATGGCTGCTGCTTCCTAATGACCTCCGACCTCCTGCTGCTCAGCTGACCCAGCAGCAGGTCGCTGCATGGATCCCAGTCCCAGGCTGGAATCTTCCTGCTAGTGGTCGGTTTTACTGGTTTTACTGGTTTTACTGGTTTTACTGGTTTTGGGTCGACTGGGTGAATGTTGACCAGATGAGCGTTCAGGACGTCATTGTAGCGTGTTTGGCTTCGCTGTAATGTCTGGTTTTATAGCCTGGCTCCTAAAATCAGTGCATTTCCTGCTTTTTGTTGTTTTCAGTGGATGGGTTGACTTTGTGGTTATTTCATTTCGTGGTCGGTTTATTGTTTTAAGTCTTGGAAATTGGGACGCAGCTGGAAAAGCTGTGATGCAGGAAGAGCTGGATCCACTGAAGGTGGAGGGAAGGAAGCCATCGTTCCTCGACTGGATTCCCAGCATGACGGAAAAAAGGAACGACTGTTTCACCTCTTTGTTTTCCCCCATCCTGCGGCGCCGGGCCGGGCCGGGCCGGGCCGGGCCGGGAAGCCGCTCGCCTCCCGTAGTCCGAACGGTTCCAGCTGGTTCCCAGTCCAGAACCACCAGAGAGCGGCGCTGGATGTTCCCCCCCTGCAGCCATGTCTTCCAGATGTTGACCTCATTTCATCCCGGCTCAGTAAACCGGCTGGAGGCTGCACTATGAACCCGATTCAACCAAAACCCGATTTAACTTTAAACCCGATTCAACTGAAACTTGATTCAACTTTGAACTTCGGGTTTAAGTTGAATCAGGTTTAAAGCCCAAACTTTGGTCTGGGCTTTGACTAGGCCATCCAGCTGCATATTTCGGCTCTTTGTCCTGATTAAAGGTGAAACTCACCTGTCTCCTGAACGGAGGATTTTTCTGATAAATTATCGAAGCAGCTCCATGTTTTTGCCTTCGGGGCGGCGATGTCTCCGCTTTGTGAGCCTCATGTCTTCATGCAGCTGATTTCCCGCCTGGAGGCCAAACAGCTACGGAAAGCCATCGACATTTTAATTACAAGACAGTCAACATTTAAGGCTGATGTTTCCTCTGCTGACATTTATTGATAACTAATGAAATATTAACAGATAATTTATAACAATAAAAATAACAACTGATATTTTCAGAAAGTGGAAACAGCTTTATTTTGAAAAGCCAACAGAATTCATTCAACCATTTTTAAAGAGAATGTGTGAGCTTTATTTTGAAGGGTTATAAACATTTGCAAAAGTCCGAACAGGCTTTTATTTTGAAAGAGCAACAGAATCCTTTTTCCTGTGGTAATGTTGGACCGATTTAGTCATGAAATCATAAACTATGTAACATTTAGACTTTTATTTTGAAGATGACATCTTTATTTCTATTCAGATGGTTTTATTTTGAAAGGGCCAGTTGTTTTCTGCATGGCTTTGATGGGCAGCGATTATTTGAATAATAATAAACCAGATTGTGTCACATTGCAACGCAGAACAAGCGGAGATGTTTGTTTGGAAAAATGTAATAAAAGGATCTGGGAGCCGCAGCTGGACGGACGATTTTCCTCAGTGGAAACAGCCGGGATGGAAACACTGGGTGTGTGTGTGTGTGGGGGGGGGGGGGGGGGAGGAGGGGGTGTGTGCACCCTAACAGACATGAAGAAGAAAAACAGTCACGGTTTTTTCTTGCCTCACTCCTGGCAGACTGGATCAGGAGGACGGCTCGGAAAAACCCGCCTGTGAGCCCGGTTCTGTTCGGTTCGGTTCTGACCCGTTTGTTGTTGAATCACGTGACGACAAGCAGAACCGATTTTCTTCAGGCTGAAAATTTTTGAGTTTTCTAGAAGCCTGAGAGTTTTATTTTGAAAGGCCAACAGAATCTCCTCTTCCTCTCTGGTTTCGGTCCAGTAGCAACATGGAACCTGAGTTTGCTGTAATCCATTGTTTGCAAGCTTTGACTTTAAAGAAAGTTTTATTGTATTAATTTATTTCATCTTATCATAAAATATTTCAATTTTTATATTATTTACAACATGCTTTTATTGTGAAAGGGCAACACAATCTCAGCTTAGAGCAGCATAATTCCTTTTAGTTTGTGAATTTAGAGCTACTTCTGCAAGAATCAATGAAAGAAACAATTTAGACTTTTATTTTGAAGAGCACATTTGAACTTTTTCAAATCAAAATAAATATGATTTTATTTTGGTTTTCAATGAAGAACCTGCAATAATCTACTTAATAAAATGTTAAGACTATTAAAATAAGTTTAAAATTAACTTTTATTTTGAAGGGTATCTTGCTGATTTACTTTGAAAAAATAAATCATCTAATTTGTCACATAAACCCTTTCTATGTTAGCAATAAAATATTAAAGGCTTTCATTTTGAAATGTCAATGTTTATGTGGAGCATGCAAGAAGTCAAATGTATTGAGACTTTTATTTGAAAACTGATTTTTAAAATTTACTTGAGTTGTTTTAATTTGAAAGACCTAATTTCTTATTTTGGCTGTAGGTTTATGCTTTATCTGCTAAAGCAGGCATCAATAATATTAATAATAATAATCATAACAATAAGTTTTTTGCCGCCCCTGAATGAAGCAGCATAAAAAGTTTTATTGATATTTTATTAATATTATTCTGCTGACGTTTCTGCCCACACACACCTCTGGCATTTCAGCACAGCATGGCGTCCTGAGCTGCATCATTTACATGACTTCACTTCCTGTCCGTCGCTCTGATCACTTCCTTGTTTTCTGTTACTTTGCATTTCTGTGGGATTTTTTACTTTATCTGAACTTTTTCTTTATTGTTGCTTTACTTGTTGCAGATCAGTTGTTACTTTACATCAGTTCATGTTTACGTTTGTGATTTTTGGAGATTTTAATATTTATTTTATGTTAAGCAGTCTGACAGACTTCACCTGTTTATTGATGCTAAACAGTGAAAGCTCTGCCTGCCACTTCCTCGTCTGCATCCTGAGCAGAAACTCAAAAACATCGACAAAAATAATGATCTATAATTACAGCATTTTCACAGAAAGCCTGTAAAGACGCATTTTAGCGATGGAAATACCCGCCTGCTAACATTTAGCTGCTGCTTTTCTTGTAAAAATATTCATTGTCGAATCATTTCAGTTTTTATCTGAAGCTGAAAATGAATTTCTGTTTTCTGGCAGGATGGCGCCATGAGGACACTTCCTGTTGGGACTAACAGCGCCGCTGGGCGGGAAGCAGCAGGTGAGTCCAGCCTGCCATGGTGGTTCTGGTTCTGGATCGGTTCTGGGTCCTGTTGGGTCAGCACCCAGAGCCAGGAATGTGACATGAAGTCAAACTGTTAAACACCAGAACACATCGGCCGTTTTAGGAGTGATCCTGACTTCACCAGGTTTTGCCCTGTGGATGCCCCCAGGGGTGGGGGCGGTGGGGGGCATCAGAGAGGTGGGGGCATCAGAGGGTGGGGGCATCAGAGGTGGGGGGCATCAGAGAGGTGGGGGGCATCAGAGGGTGGGGTGTTCCCTTCGCTCTGCGTTTCAACATGAACCAACGCTGCAGGAATGTTCCTCACACAGTTAAAAATAGAGGATTCGTTTCGGTGAAACTCTAAATTAGAGCCAGAAGCTTTCAGTTCCCGGGTCCTTCAGGCATCTGGAGGACACCTACACTGGGTTCTGGTTCTGATGGAGGGAGGAGCTTGGATAAACGGGTCTTGAATCGCTTTGATTTGTTCTGATGATTAATTTTCTTTTTCTTTGAATTTCTTCACATTTTCTCTCATTTCTGGATCCGGTTCTGATCCAAGCAGTTCTAGTTGCTTCTGTTCTGCTTCTCGTCTTCATCAGACTCGTAACTGTTTTGGTTATAACTCTGTGTTGGTTCTGATGGACCGGGCCCGTGTCCATCTGAGGACGGAACATCTGTTCTAGCTCAGATGTTCTGACCCGGTTCTGCACTTTGCCTGATTAAAAAAAAGGCATCTGATTTGAAAAACTAAAGGAATAGTCAGTAATAACTGCAGGATTTATTGAAAATGTTTCTGTATTTATCCAAGTTTAATAAATAAATCAGGTTTGATCATATTTACCGTGGAAAAAGATTTTGATGTTTGTAATAAAAGAAAAAAGTAGAACAGAAAGATCTTGTATTGTCTCTCAGTGGTTAAATTCACTGACTGAAAATAAAATAAGAGACGGCAGCATTGTTTAAAATAGTATATTTACTCCAATTAAATTAATCAACTCATCAATTCTGCTGTAATTAATCAGCATTAACCACCTGCTGACTGCTGAACTGGAGTCTGTGGGGACGCACAATATCAATCTAGGGGCCACAAAAGGCCCGTGCCCCTCAGTTTGGAGTGGACACCTCTATTTGAAACTAATTCACAAATAAGAAGATCTTGTGAAAGCTCTGCCTGCCACTTGCAGCAAAAATATTTATATTTATCCTCTGGTATTTGCTATGAACAGACACGCTGTTATTTTTCTAGCAGCTCAGAGCTAAAAGGAAAGCTAGCATCCCCTAGCCCCGCTTTAGCATTACCTAGCCATGCTTTAGCATCACTGAGCCCTGCTTTAGCATCCCTTAGCCCTGCTTTAGCATTACCTAGCCCCGCTTTAGCATCAGCTAGCCCTGCTTTAGCATCCCCTAGCCCCGCTTTAGCATCACCTAGCCCTGCTTTAGCATCACCTAGCCCTGCTTTAGCATCCCCCCAGCACCGGGCAGTGACATTTCCTGTATCATCAAGTCCAAAACTTGGCAGGTCTGGTTACAAGAAACATTTTCATACTATTTAGGGGAAAAACTTGTCCAAACGTTAAGCTTAACAAATTTAGCATCTTTTTACAACAAGATATAAAACATTTAGGTTCAAGCTCAGCTGGCCAGCTAAATAGTTTGCTAGCAAGCTAAATATTTTGCTACAAGCTAGGATGCTTGTTTGCGTTAGTTTGCACATAGTTGGTAGCTAAGCCTTGAGCCTGAAGATAAATATTTAGTTTCCACAATAAATATTTAGCTCCAAGCTAATTATTTAGCAAACAACTGCATTTAAGCTAATTGCAACTACATGTTAAATTGCTAACTACCGCATTTTTCGGACTATAAGCCATTACTTTTTCCTGCTTTAAATTGTGTGGCTTGCAGTCCTGTGCAGCTTTTCTGTGGATATTTCTTCAACCACCAGGGGGCTCTGTAGCAGCAGGTAAATCATTGGAAGTCAAAATAAGAAAGAAAGAAAGAAAGAAAGAAAGAAAGAAAGAAAGAAAGAAAGAAAGAAAGAAAGAAAGAAAGAAAGAAAGTGCTTATTTCCACTTCGAGCAAGCCGCATGTTTGCAGCAATGTCTTCAAACTTAGCATGGAAGCAACTCGCACTAGTTGAGTTGAAGGCTGTCCATGTGGCAGGACAGTGCTGCTACTGCGGCCTAGCAAGTTTGTTAAGCCTCTGAGCAACCGACAGCGGCGGATACCAGCAGCTTATATGTAAGTTTCCAGTTTTTTAAATAAATTTGTGGGTGCGGCTTAAAGTGAGTTGCGCTCTATAGTCTGGAAAATACAGTAACACATGTAGCTCGAAGCTAAACGTTTAGCTTGTGACTACGTACAAACTTAAAGGAAACAAGTAAGCCACGTGTTTAGCTAAAAAAACTGTTTAGTTTGGAGATAAATATTTCTTTTTCAAATTAAATATTTAGCTAGCTAGTTAAGTTCTTGGCTAACAAGCTAAATATTTACATATTAATTTAAACTGATATTTATGGATGGATGAAATGTGAAAACTTGCCTTTGAAGCCCTGCAGACTAAATAACCCAGATTGTTGCTGATCATTCTGACTGTGTAGAAATTGGAACCATAAACAGCATCTGAGTGCGAAAAGTTAGAAAAAATGATTTTATGGTTTTCATTTCAGCCTGCAATAATCCCATAATAATCCCTCACCACCAAAACCACATCAGCCTGCGCCTGTAACTGTGTGGCTTCATTTTTCCATTAAGTAAGGAGGATATTTGTGATATAAAACCGTAAAACATGCAGCAGTTTGAGTCAGAAGAAGTAATGGCAGCAGGAGCCGTTTGGATGAATGATGATCATGATAGCAGCAGAAGTCATTAAGTGATGATTACATTCAGACTGTGGAGGTTTTCCAGGATGTGTGTATGAATGGAGAATGTGCTCACCTGTCCAGGTTTTATCCAGGGGCTAAAATGAGTTGCCATGCTTTTATTTTGAAATCTGAGAAGTTTTGTTTTCGTCTCTTCAGCTTAAACTCAAGCCTCCGTCGCTGGCTTGACTGTCACTGCAGCACAGCCAGAGCAATAAAACGCATGACCACTGTGTGTGTGTGTGTGTGTGTGTGTGTGTGTGTGTGTGTGTGTGTGTGTGTGTGTGTGTGTATTTCCCATCAGTGCTGGTCATCTCTACCCAGCCCCTTCCCAGAATCCACCACTGACTCACTTGAATCAAACTGCGAGTCAGCTGTTTGAGCGAAGCCAATCAGCAGCGGCGCCGCCGCCTCGTCGTGTTCTTTAAATGGGTCGGGACGTTCCGTACGGTCACACCTGTGGAGGTATTCACAACCTGCAGAACCAGAAGAACCGCCGGCTTTATGGGCCAATGTGTTCGGGATTAAAGCTTAAAGAGAAGCAGCTGCAGGACGGAAACATCCTGCCAGATGTTCTGCGTAGGGAGGGAGTCCTGCCGCGGTCCAAACGGACCGGGCCGGCAGCACCTGATACAGGAGGTGGGGTCTCGGTTCTGGCTCATCAGAACCCCATGAATATAACCATCCAGTTACTTGAAGAATTCCTAACAGTCGATAACCAAAAGCATCAACACAGATGCTGAACTTGATTCAACTGAAAGTTTCTAAAACCGTCAAATAAATTAGAGCTTTAAAATGTATCAGGAATAATGAAAACAGGAAGCTCAGTGTGCTAAAGCAGAAGGCAGCTCCTCTATCAGCGGACGTGGCGTCATGGCCGCTTAATGAGACACCACAGAACGGATCGGAATGTTGTGTCCAGATGTGTAATATACTGGCCCTCCCCAACATGTTGCTGCCCACTGTTGACAGAACATCTTCCCTCACTTTTAGGAAAACAAACGAGCTGGAATTTCTGGAGTATTTACAAAACAAGCCCAAAGATTTACTGAGCACTAAAGTATTGAGCTAACATCGGCTCCATCCTGCACAAACTGACTGCTAATCCCGAACATGCTAACTAGCTTAATCCTGAACATGTTAACTAGCTTAATCCTGAACATGCTAACTAACTTAATCCTGAACATGCTAACTTAATCCTGAACATGCTAACTAGCTTAATCGTGAACATGCTAACTAACTTAATCCTGAACATGCTAACTAGCTTAATCCTGAACATGCTAACTAGCTTAATCCTGAACATGCTAACTAACTTAATCCTGAACATGCTAACTTAATCCTGAACATGCTAACTAGCTTAATCCTGAACATGCTAACTAACTTAATCCTGAACATGCTAACATTAGCAGCATGTTCAGGATTGAAATAGTAAAACTTTCAGTATTTCATTTAATGTATTAACTTCAGATTAGATTCAGCCAATTACAGGACAGAAACACAGTGCATGAAGATGGCTAGGTTAGGTGACTAGGAGGCTAGGTGACTAGGAGGCTAGGTGAATAGGAGGCTAGATGACTAGGAGGCTAGGTGACTAGGAGGCTAGGTTCTCTTCAATGTGAGCTTCAGAAAGGATGAGATTGGAAAAGTGAATTGAGAGCAAGAAGGCAGAGATGCTGGAATGAAGGAAGGAGACAAAGATGGAAGAGAAATGTTCTGGTCCCGGTTCTGGTTCTGGTCCCGGTTCTGGTCCCGGTCCTGGCTCTGGTTCTGGTCCCGGTTCTGGTCCCGGTTCTGGTTCTGGTCCTGGCTCTGGTTTGGACCGGGCCGCTGCAGAACCTCGGACCCGTTGGTGTCGGCTCGGCGCAGAAAGAGCCTTTGGGCTTCCGTACCTCTGGAAGTTCCGCGCTGCACCTGAAGGCAGCGCGGCGCCTGAAGTCTCCCTGAGCGCCATCCATCCTTCTCCCGTTCGGCTTCCTGCCCATAAATATTTGAGCGGCCCATTAGGGCGAGGTAATCTGCAGACCCGGTCCGCGGCGCGGAGCCTAATAGGCTGTCGCGGCGCGAGGCCCGGAGCTAACGGCTAATTAAGAGTGAAACAGGTTTAACGAGTTTAGACTGTTCATTAAGGCAGAAAGCTGA